TAGATAGATAGATAGATAGATAGATAGATAGATAGATAGATAGATAGATAGATAGATAGGATTATGGGAAATGTGTTGTGGGAGTGAGATTGTCTGAGGGGTGTGAATGTGGAGAGAGAGAGACGGAGGGCTGCAGTGCTCCAGCTTTGTCTTTGTGAAGAAAGAGAATCTCCTGGGTGATTTTCACAGTCTCTCTCTGTGTGTGTGTGTGTGTGTGTGTGTGCGCGTGTGTGTGGGGCATTGGCATTGAGTGATATTCTTCAGTGTCTTCAGATAATAAGAGGACTAGGATGAAAACCATCAGTATGGCATGTCATAATCACGAAAATACACATTTATTGGGTAAAATATTTAATTTGTATTCAGGTCGAACTGCATTTTATTGGTTCTTTTTGGCATTGAATGAATTATAAGTAAATTGGAAGTATGATTTGAAATTTGTGTGTGTGTGTGTGTGTGCGTGCGTGCGTGTGTGGGTGGGTCTTATGCAAGTCAGTACTTGAACTTTACTTGAAACAATTCTTTTGGAATGTTTGGAAACGTCATCAAACAAAGCTGACATCATACATAAGAAATAAAAACATAATAGCTATGGTTTAAATATATTTAAATATTATATATATATATATATATATACATATTCACTTGAAACAATAAACTCATTTAGAATGTTTGGCCACATCAAACAAAGATTAGGAGGAGTATGATGACATAATACTCATGAAAACAAATATAAATATGATTTAAATTGTATTTAAATATAATTAATATATAAATAAGACATCCAAGTGTATTTATATAACTATTATGCATTTAAGTTCATTTAAATATTAAGTCAAAATGCTTGAAAGTGACTCATTTAGTGATAAATAACTATTGTGATGTTTTATATGAAAATAAATATGATCATTTATATTATTATGTATGTGTTTTTTTAACTGGTTTATAAGCCATTGGCACATATCCGCCTCAAACTTGTCTAGAAATGCTACTGAGGTAAATTAAGTGTAAACGTTGGTCACTTTTCACCATGTTTATTTCATCCTAAATTAGTGTAATATAGAGGTGAATCACAATGACTCAGGGCTAAATCTCTCCAGTCTGCTTCCTGTCATGTGATACATGAATATACAACTGTTCCTCATGCCGTTAACATCTAATACTCCCTATAATCGAGTGCATACTGCCCAGTGTTATGTTAGTCATATTTATATAAGTTTTTATTCATATTTTTATGTGCTTTTGCTATTTACATTAGTTTTTTAATCTATTTAGCTTATATTAATTTGATCATTATTTGAATTAACCAGCCAGAACTGGACTCGGATCAGCCGAAACATTTAACCTTTCAACCCCGGTGCAGATTACTGACCCGCTGCCATGCTTTTATAATACAGCACAACAACCGTCTATTTAATTTGTGTTTATTCCACATCACAAGGTCTCAATCAAGTCACAATCAAGTTACTGATTTGTGGGATAAATAAAGCGTGATAAGTGTCCTGTGATAAAGGTCCAGTGCATTACTCATTATATCACACCATATTACTGAACTGACTAAATATAGTCTCAGGACGTCTTGAGACACGTCACAGAAATATATTTGTGTCTTCTTTTCAGTGTTATTTTGAACTAATAATAAATAATATTTTCCTAATCCAATGTAAATTTAAAAATGTACTATTACATTTAAAAATATTTTCAGTTTAGTGTCATTGATATTCTATTAAAATTTTTGTTAATATTGGGAATTTTATTTTAGCATTTTAGCAGTGATAAATAATTATTTATAATTTTCATTGTAAAGTTTTAGCAATTTTATTTTTTATTTTTAGTTATTTTAATACTTCAACTTAAAATTATTTTTCATCGATTTTATTTTATTGTAATGCATTACATTTTATTTAATATATTTTTTATTGTATTTTGTATTTTATGTGATTTATTTTTTAATTTTTTTGAACTAATGAAATGTGTTTATGGTTTTAGTTTTCATTTTAACTAATGATAATATCCCTGATCTGTTGACATTAATTAATGCATTGTGAACTACCATGAACAAACAATTAACATTTCTATTTTTATTAAATTTTTTATAAAATGTTTTATTATTATTATTAAACATTAACAAAGATTAATCAAATGAATTTATAATGACACAATAATAAAATATATTGCTGATTGTTAGTTCATATGATCTGTTATCTTTATTATTACATTATGCTAAGCTAGTTTTGACCTAGTTCCTTAAATAACTATCTTAACTTTACAACCTTCACCATATCCTGGAATCATCGCCGCACTATATTGTCCAATAATAAGACATTTGCATGGTTTTCATAGTTCCTCTCAAGGGAAAATTGTATCCCAAAGTTGAATAGAATTAGATGTTTGTTATTAAAATGATTTGAGCAATAGTAACAGTGAGTCTTGATTTAACAAACCCCACTAAATACTTCAAGAGCTCAACCCCAACTCTGATCTCATCCTAGTGTAAAAACACAGAGTTCTCCTTCCAGCAGGACTGACTGACCATGAGGCAGAGCTTGATTCAATTTCCAGCTAATGGAAAACCCCAGTGGCGTCTGTTTGAAAGGCTCCATTGCTCTCCATCCATGCTTCCTCTGAGAGCATAATAAGACTCATTCGGCTCTCTCTCCATTACAGTGACTCTCTCTCACACAATGTAAAAATGGACATTCAGCAAATACTACGGTCATTCTGCATAAAATTATTAACTGGGAATAAATAATAACTAACTGAGCCAAAGCTAAAACTAGAAAAATATATTAAACCTAAATAGTCATATCTATGTAAAAACATAAATATGACAAAAGCGCTTAACAAAATAAAAATAAAAGACACTAAAATTAAACTGAAAATCTAAAAATAAAAGCTAATTTAGAATATTAATAGCATCATAGTATATAAATAATACTTACTCTCAGATCGCACATATAATCTACTTTTTAGGTAAAGAAAGTTTGATATTTGACCTTATCTATCTTAACTATATACTAGAGCGTGGACATCTTAGCATATGCTTTTGGTAAAAATGGCAAAACAAGATATTTCACATTTAAACCTGGATTTCAAGCACTGATGTGAATGTATTACAATTAAATATTACAATTAAAAGTATGTGCTTCACTATTGATTTAGTACATGCTTTGGATTGTGATAGTACATAATACTATTACATAAAACTACAATGGTCCACGAGGAGTGGTAAAAATACTTCGAAAATCCACCTTAAATAGTATTTTTGGGCACTTTTGAATTACTAGAAGCACAAATCTAAATCACAGATTTCTTTGTCAGGTACGGTTTGTGTTTACATGAAAAGTGTTGGCATCTAGCTAAATTCATTGCCTTAAAATGAATTACCATAATATTTCACTTCTAGATTAAAAACGGTTGGCATTGAATTCCTCCCCTTTATTATACAACTGAAAAAATCTTTAATGCAAGGATTTCTGAGAAATGTTAGCCCAAAATAACATGCACAGATGCATACTTTTTAAATGCATGCTATATTAAATGCACTGTTATTTAGGATTGTCTAACCCTAATATTGCACACTATTTACTATGTTTAAGGTACAAATTGTGATGCATCCAAAAGTGTTTCTTGCATGCATTTTATGCATGAATGTATTCCTTAATTAAGCATTTTTTTTCTCTTCCTCAGGCCTTCAGCCAGGCGTACACCACCCAAAGGAAGGTGGCTGAAGACGGGGAGACCAATGAGGAGACGCTGCTGCAGGAGTCGGCCACTAAGGAAGCGTACTACATGGGCCGCCTACTTGAGCAGCAGGCCGAGCTGAAGAGCAGCAGATCACAGGCGTCCTGCACGGAGGCCGAGAACGAAAGACTCAGCACCATCCTACAGGAGCTGAGAGAGGTCAGAAACTCTCTCTTAATAAACAGTGTAAATCCATTATTGGTTTGACATCGCAAATGTATCCCCGTATTCAGGTCTGGTGTTGAAATCTTTCTCTGTTTCCCCCTCTGTGTCTCTCAGAGTAATGAGATGTTGGAGTTGCAGAGAAGCCGCATGAGAGAGGAGATCAGGGAGTATAAGTTTAGAGAGGCCAGATTACTGCAAGACTACACCGAACTGGAGGAGGAGAACATCTCGCTACAGAAACTGGTGTCCACGCTCAAGCAGAACCAGGTAAACACACTCACAGTTACCGCCTTTACACCGACACAGTTCTGGTGAGCAGTCTAGAACCATTACACACATTTCCACTAAAGAAAAAAAGGTCCTAGGCCAGAAAAAATGTCTTTGCACTGGCCTTAGAGCAAAAAAAATAATGTAAGTTGATAATGTCGTCACCAAATACATTTTTCAAAACAACAACAGAAAACTAGCTGATACAAAATTAGATCGCTTCCATTATATGCAACATGCATTCAGTAGACAGACAAAATGTTACTATTTTTGACTTAATTTTCCCCATCCATCTGTAATTCTATTATAAGTATTATTATTAAAATTATAAACATTATGTGTGAATTGATTACTTTATATTGTGTTTATTTTTATATAAATGTATTAAATATAAGTATTAGTATTTTTTACTTTAGTAAAAGTATTTTTTATTTATAAGTACTGTACTTACATATTTTTATATTATATTATACATATATTTAAATTGATATGTAAATAGTTATTATATACATTTGTGAACTATTTATGAAATTATTTATATATATTTTTGTTACATTATATTATACTTATTTTTTAATTCATATTTAAATAGCTTCTGACCAATTGATTACTATAAATGTAATTTTTATATAAATTTATGAACTTATAATTAGAAGTCTTTACATATATTTTAAATTATATTTGTTGATATTCAAATATCTTGTGACTAATTAATTACTATAAAATTAAATACATTTTTATACATATTTATAAACCTTATAAGTATTTATATTTTAATTTTACATTACACATTTTCAAAAACTTCTGACCATTAAGTCACAGATGGCATACATACACTAAATTATATTACTTTAAATGTTAAAATAAATTCTCAAAACTAGGCGTAAAACCTTTATGCATCATATTTGTTTGTGGCAGGTTACATAGAAACAGTCTCGGATATTTCCAGATTCAAAACAAATGGCTATTCTCTGTTCTATCAGGTGGAGTATGAGGGCTTGAAGCATGAAATCAAAGTTCTGGAGGAGGAAGCAGCCCTGCTTAACAGCCAATTAGAAGATGCGCTGCGCCTGAAGGACATCTCTGAGACCCAATTGGAGGAGGCTTTGAATTCTCTGAAAAGCGAGCGAGAACAGAAGTATGCTCTGCGCAAGGAATTAGCACATCATCTAACCGTGTGCGACGGGGGTTTCAGCTCAGGCTGTGCCCACCTGATCGCCCTGACCTCAGCGCCACCTAGTGGCAGTGCCACCCCGACAGCCGCCACATCGCCCAGCAGCGAAGACGGTGGCAAGTGCAACGGGCATCTGCTTCAAGGTGCGGCGGGATCAGTTTTGAGCCGACTGAATGGAGACTTCAGGCCATCGAGTTTGAGGAAGACTGAAATTCTGACCCCTGACCTCTTTAGTGAGCTCAATGGCCCTGAAAACCTGAAACTAAGACAACAGCTTCAGCAGGTCAGTATGAAGGGGTGGGGCCTATGTTATAAACAGCATAAACCTATATAAACATTTCTATCAGCATGCATTCATTTTTACACAGCAAAGCTTTATGTTGCCAGCCCAGAGGTATAATAAATTTACCTCTTTAATATTTCTTTCATATATCCTTTGGTTGTGTTTTCTCTTAATTTCCCTATTTTTAAGCTTTTTAAACTCATCTTTCATGCTTAAGATCCTAAATAGTGACAAACCACTGCTGCATTGGTTTAGGCGTTGTTCTGTTTACAACGGGATGCTGCAGTGTCGTGGGATGAAATATGAGACCACCATACACACTAATGGGCCATGCTACTAGCTTATTTATATCCTTCCTGTCACAAGAGATCACTGTTCCTACAGTGCAAGTTCATTTGAGTCATATACATAGTGAAGGGGTGGGGCCTATGTTAGCCACACCCTTATAATGAATATATAAACAGCATAAACCTATATAAACATTTCTATCAACATGCATTCATTTTTACACAGCAAAGCTTTATGTTGCCAGCCCAGAGGTATAATAAATTTACCTCTTTAATATTTCTTTCATATATCCTTTGGTTGTTTTCTCTTAATTTCCCTATTTTTAAGCTTTTTAAACTCATCTTTCATGCTTAAGATCCTAAATAGTGACAAACCACTGCTGCATTGGTTTAGGCGTTGTTCTGTTTACAACGGGATGCTGCAGTGTCGTGGGATGAAATATGAGACCACCATACACACTAATGGGCCATGCTACTAGCTTATTTATATCCTTCCTGTCACAAGAGATCACTGTTCCTACAGTGCAAGTTCATTTGAGTCATATACATACATATGAACTTTGCATCTATGTGTTAACATTGATCATGCATTAACTGTGCAAAATGCACAGACCATGTCTGACTCACTTGTAAATTCATTTAGAAGAAACATATGAGACAGAGTTGATTAAATTAAGCATATCTCCATTAAGTCTCCTGAGCATTAAAATGCTCCGTTACATGCATTAGATTAAGTCAGGACACTACAGGCAAAACCATTTGACTATTTCGTCTTATTTTTCAGACTAGTGCAAGAAAACATCCAAAATACACATTTAAGTGTTTCTTTTATTGCACTTTAACTATTTGCATTTGTAGATTTCAATTACAACGTATATCTTTAAAAGCCATTTTTCATGCACTGAGCCAGAAATCTATATAAATGCAATATGTATAGAAAGAGAGAGAGTGATAAGAGACAGAGAAGTCCTATGTAAAAAACATTAACTGTAATATGTCAACAAAATGAAACAAGAATTTTGAACCTGGCTTCATCCAATGTTCAGATTTCTATTCTGAAAAGGTATGCAAATTAGTGCATATTTAATTGCATGATTGCATACTTTGCATATTTCAGAAAACTTGTAATACAAAACTGTACTGTCTTACTGTACTGTGATTAATCAGCTGAGGAAAGTATGGCGATATCTATTAGTTAAATAAGACCTTGTTGGTTGACCTGCCTCACCAGATAGATTTCACTGATGTTTTTCATGGCTATGATGGTTCATCATCTAGACCAGCATCAGGACTAACCAGTATACACCATATAAAGTAATTAGTTGACTTGTTTATTTGCCGTAGGTGGAACGTGAAAAAGCGTCTTTGCTCAACAGCTTGCAGGAATCACAGGCTTTGCTCCGTCACACACAGGGGGCGCTGACGGAGCAGCACGAGAAGGCCAGTCGCTTGGGCGAGCGTTTCCGAAAACTCCGCCACCAGCGCAGCAGCAAGGAAACCAAGGGGGAAGAGGAGGACGAAGAAGAGGAGACAACATACGTCCCTAGCGGCCAGGAAGGGCCGAGTCTGGAATTGCTGCAATGTAAATACAGGGTGGCTGTGACGGAGGTGATCGGACTGAAGGCGGAGCTTAAGGAGGTGAAGGATAGATATAATGAGTGCGTGGAGGCAAGAGCACGGGCGGAGGAGCAGGGCAAGGCGCAGCTGCAAGCATTGGAGATGCAAGTGGTGCAGCTGGAGCGCAGCTGCAGGGAAAGCCGGGAGATGGCGGTGAATCTAGAACGCAAGCTGCGGGCAGCCAATAACGCAGGCTTGGAGACGCAGGGAATCCTGGGAACTGCCCAAGAAGAGCTGGCGACATTCAGTGAGGAGTTAGCGCAACTTTACCACCACGTCTGCCTGTGCAACAATGAGACACCAAACCGCGTTACGCTAGAATACTACCGGCAGGGCCGAACGCCAACGCGCATTTCCACCCCTGGCCACAAGGGGCAGGACGATCACCGTGTGCTGTTGACCCCACGTCTCGCACGTCGTTTGGCGGCGATTAACGCCGCAACGTCTGCCGAGTCTCGTAGCCCGTCGGACTCACCATCCAAAGAACCTCTCACTGCTGAGCAGAGCCCAGTCCGTACGCCACTGGGTTCACCCGTCGTTAGTGCCTCTTCCTCGTCTTCATCATCATCCCCAGCACCCGAGTCGGCCACGGGGTCCGACCTCCGCCGTGAACCCACCAACATCCACCACCTCAACGCCATCATCCGCGACCAGATCAAGCACTTGCAGAAGGCGGTGGACCGCTCGCTCCAGCTGTCCCGCCAGAGAGCGGCCGCTAGTGAACTCGCCCCGCTGATGGACAAGGACAAGGAGGCCTGCATGGAGGAGATTCTCAAGCTCAAGTCCCTCCTGAGCACAAAAAGGGAGCAGATCGCAACCTTGCGCCTTGTGCTCAAAGCCAACAAGCAGGTAGGCTAATCAGCTCTATTTATTACCCTGCATCCTATTGATTGCCATGAGGCCTGTGAGTACTGAACCATGGGAGTCCTTACATTGACTTCTCATTAATGTTACTCTGTAGCTTCTACATTTCTTGGTAGAACTGTTACTTTTCCACATTTTGCACCTACAGTAGTCTTGAGTACCCAGATTGTTAACCATTGGCATTAAGTCTTGGTCCACTTTGCCACTTACTCTTGACTTCTCATTTCTTGGTAAAACTTACATTTTCACATGAGTTGCCATCCTTCGCCTACAATAGTTGTAAAAATTGTAAAACTGTTACATTTCCATATAGGTCGCTATCTTTCGCCTACAATAGTCTTGCGTACCAAGATTTTAAACTATCAGCATCAAGTCTGGTCCACTTTGCAACTTATTCCGATGTCTCATTAATGTTGCTCTATAGCTTCTATATTTTCTTGGTAAAACTTAAGTTTCCACTTGAATTGCTATCTTTCGCTTACAGTAGTCTTGCGATCCAAGATTTTCAACTATCAGCATTAAGTCTGATCCACTCCAGCTACCTTAATCTGATGTCTCATTAGCATTGCTCTGTAGCTTCTGCGTTACTTTTTCGCACAAGTTGCTATCTTTCACCTACAGTAGTCTTGCATACAAAGATTTTTTATACTATCGGTATAAAGTCTAATCCACTTTGCTATTTATTCTAGCCAAGAAATGTCCACATAAACAAGGACAGACAGTCTGATCAGACTGTTAAATTACTAACCATAATTTGTTTTTATACCCCTTTTTTTACACCTCTGCAAGTTTTGGGCTGATATAAGGTGTGAACACCCCAAATGATCTCAGTCCACCCTAAAAGGACCCACAAATGAACCAGACTCAACCACCTCACTATTTGTGGTTTGATTCATTCATGCAATGTTGCCTTTTAAGTCCACTTACATTGTGAACACAAGTGTCTTAAACCAAACAGAGTAAAAGTCAAAGATCTGATCTAATATGGCAAACATTGGCAAATATAGCATTTAGTTCTTTTTAAAAGCTCCAGCACCTTGTTAACATGGCATTTCAGGCGGAGCGGTGCACCCAGACGGAGGCGTTTGATCTATAGCCAGTAAAATGAAATGTTGATGAAAAGGGACCATTATGTCCGACACATCATTTCTTTCTCTTTGTTGGCCACTGTGTGATATAAAGCATGTTGTATGACCCTTCCAGGCCAGAGATGATTAATGGACATTGCGATTTATAGATCCCACACCAGAGAGAAAGCGCTGTACTCTATGGGCCGCAAAGTAATTACTACATCCATTATTATGTGCAAACAGACACAAGAGGAGTACTTAGTTACTGCTACGACAAGCATTCAGTTGAATGAACAGTTCACTGAATGAAATTAGATCATGAATTCAATAAGGTATTCTTAAAGTAGGCCTTTAAACCAGAGCAATTATTTGGTAAATATATCCCATATATCAAAACGAATATGATGTTGAGCAGGGCTGCTATTATAATCCATGTGTAACCATGTGTTTTTGATTTAGAAAAATCAAATTGCATTCTTTTTAGAAAACGCCTTCAATGTTCGTAATGAATCAGTGCTTTCTTATGTGGTCTATATTATATCAGCAGTGCTTAATTAACTTATTGTTGGCAGAACTAGTTGTTTGTTGGTTGTAATGCTCACAGACGGCTGAGGGGGCTCTGGCCAACCTGAAGAGTAAATACGAGAACGAGAAGACAATGGTGACTGAGACCATGATGAAGCTGAGGAACGAGCTAAAGGCCTTGAAAGAGGACGCGGCCACCTTCTCTTCCCTCAGAGCCATGTTCGCCACACGGTGAGAAATACGCAACGTAACGCTATACTCAAAATTCATTTGTTTGCAGAGCATTTCAATGAACCATACAAACGAACCAATACTCCAAAATAAATCATTATTTACACAGAAGCACATTTTAGGAGAGAGTGTACAATCCAAAGTGACAAAAATTGTATTTTGTTGCACTACACAACTACTCGTTGGGAAAAGTAGCTTGGTACAGGAAGAGTATTTAGTATTTTCCAGTTGTCATACTGCGAAGATTCTGTTTAAGATAGTTACTTCTCCAACATTGCTTTACAATGTCCACTGGTGCAGGATGCTGACAGCATCATATACGAGCTTTGAGACCGCAGCCGAAGCAATATCTGACAAGATGAGCATTTTTTTCCATCTGTGATTTGGATTATTTTTGCTGTTCAGGGCAAAATCAAGTGGACAGATGACTGAATAATGAGCCAACTAGAGCTTTCACAGCACATCAGAGTGAATGTTTACTAATTAGGGATGTGTGATGCAGAAAAATGTAATTGCTAATTTTAGATTTTCTTATTATTATTATTATTACTACTACTACTACTATATAAAAAAGAAACAATACAAAAAATATTCCTATTATAATATTTCACTGTAAAATAAAAAAAATAACAAATTTAATAAAAAAATAATAATTATTATTATTTTATGTTGAACTATCTAGTTTTTATTTTAAAACCACAGAAAGCCCTTTAAAGCTTTTCTTTTGTTGTCAACATGCAGGCAGTTTATAAGCACTTCTAATTACAACTTTGGAAAGATGGTTGTCACATATTGAATTCCCAAATGCACATTATATGTGACATTTACTAAGACACTGAAAACACCAGATTATAAGTATTTATTTAAATAATCAGTTTTGTTTCGGTTAATTGTGCAGCCCAAATACTAATTTCTCCTTTCTCTCTGATCAGGTGTGATGAGTATGTGTCTCAGCTAGACGAGATGCAGAGACAACTTGCGGCGGCGGAGGACGAGAAAAAGACGCTAAACTCTCTCCTCCGCATGGCCATCCAGCAAAAACTCGCCCTCACGCAGAAACTGGAAGACCTGGAGTTCGACCAAGAGCAGTCGCACCGGCCCCGCGTGGGAAAAACGTCCCGGCTGAGGAGAAGCACACCCAAAGTAAGTAGAACGCCAGTCCCGCCCCTTCCCGACACCCCTTTGACAATTACCGAGGTCCTTACGGCAGCAGCCGCCATCACCTCGCCCCCCACACCCACCCAGCTATCCGCCCCCAACAGCCCACCCTCCCTGGAGGCCCCTTCGTCTCCCGCATCGTCTTCCTCATCCTCCTGGACGCCCCCAACCATGCCGTACCGCCATTGGACGATGGGCGTCCGGGCGTACGTCGTCGAACCACACACTTACACCAACCTCCTGGCCCGTCGCTATGCAAGTGAGTCGCACTATTCCCCAGGCTCCACCCCTTCCTCGCCCTACCGCTCACCCCTATTGGCCAGTCGCCGCTCCATGTGGAGCTCGTCCCAATCCCGCCCCCTTCCCAGCCACTTCCAGCGCTCTACGTCCCGCTACACGCCCCCTTCATCCACCTACAGCCCTTTGTATCCCAGAAACTACGGCTCCCAGCATCCCCGCTACTGACGGGTGCCGCAGAGAGGAGGACACACACTGGTTTCTGTGTTTGAATGTTTTGGGAAGTGTTTTGGTTTTTTTTTTTTTTTACTCAGGGATTTAATGGAGCACAAGTGGCCCGGCCTTCTTCAAAAGAGACTGTTGATCAGTTCTCAGGACACTGTGTTCTCTGTCCCGATCTGAGCGCACGGACTGTTCAATTACACAAATGAGGGACTTTAAAACAGATTCAACAAGCTGTAATGTTAACCGAATCGGATTTGGTCATGAGTTGTTGGTGTGTATGAGAGTGAATGTGTGATTGTCACATGACTTGAACACTGATAGTCAATTAAGTGGTTGATTTGTAACAACAAGATTTTATATGAAATGCTGATTGCAGTATGAGTATCTGAGAAAGTTGGCTATATTTGGAATAGAATACAAATGTAGTATATAATGCACATTGCATACTGTTTTTAAATAATACACTGATAAAAAATTACTTTACTGACAGTTTACTCACCCTCAGGCCACCCTCTTCATCAGATTTGGAGAAATGTAGCATTCCATCACTTTCTCACCAATGGATCCTCTGCAGTGAATGGGTGCCGTAAGAATAACAGCTGATAAAAACCCCTCCACACCACTCCAGTCCATCAATTAAAAAGCTGCATGTTTGTAAGAAACAAATCCATCATTAAGGCATTTTAAACTCTAAACCATCACTTATGGCCAAAATGCAAGTCCATAATCCATAATAGCATACCCAATTTTCATTTTTGGTCGAACTATTCCTTTAAAATCCTATGAAATTAGTCAATAAAGTGGGAAAATGCAGTAGGACATCAACTTTTTTGTTACATACTGTGTACTGCATGCATACTGCAGTATGCTATTCCAAGCATAGCCAAAGTCACAGTGCCATCCAGTGGATAAACAGCGTAAATGTGGCCCATCCCATGTAATGGTGAGTGTGCAAAAATGGTTGAGTCACGTTTATAGAAATATAAGACACCATTTTAATTTGCAGTTAAGATCAGATTGGGTCAGATGTGAACTCATCAATGTTTTGAGTGCTTACAGGAACAGTGACGCTGCATTGAATGTATGTTAACGATGAAGTGATGCTATTGTCTAGATGACTAAATTCTCAGGGAATATCATTCATTGTCAGCTGTCTAAAGGTGGCAAATAACATTGCAACGTTTTTTTTTTTTACAGCACATATGATCTGCAGCAGTGATTTACAGTATAACAGATGCAGTGCTCATGTCCTGTCTAGTCAGTGTTCTTCCGTTTGTTGCCATTTTATCAGTTGCATTGATGTTGTTGTTTTTCCCCTTACACATTCACATTTTGGCAAGACACCATACTCCAAAGCTCACAGCCAAATAACAAGCTGCCAAATAGAGCAGAAAGCGTCACTTAGAAAGGGACGTGCATGGGCCCAGACTTCTGTTAAATGTCTTTTCTGTCCAAAAATTGCTGTATTTCATGAGAGGTGCCTGTGTCCTCCCATTAAACGTCTTGTGTGACACTGACAGGCCGCACACTTGACTGGCCTTCTAGAGCCATATCAGACCCACACCAACCTACACCACATCACACACAGTGCTTGAAGCATTTGACAGGTATCAAACCCTCAACCCGAGCCTGCCATGATTTCCCTGCATGACATTTTTTAACTGCTGGTTTTTGCTGAATACATTTTCGAATATTTATTTTTTAATAAATGGGTCCTTCTGCAATTGCTGTGATTTTTTCCTATATAAAACAAAATGTTTTTTTTAAATAATATTTCATTCTAGTATAAAATATAAATAATTATATATAATAAATAAAAATATATTTATAATATACATTTGTATACTAGAATTATATATATACTATATATATATATCGTTAAAATATATGAAATACATTCTAATTATATACAGTATACTGTAATTACAATTTATTTCATATTTTAACAGTTAGCTATTTTACTATTGGATTTGTTTCTTGAGTTTCAGTAAATCATGAGTAAAAAAAAAAACTTTTCATGGAAACGTCACCGCTATTATAGAAAGATTCAATTCTGATCCCAATTCAGTGTTTAATTCATTATTGCTCCACAGGCCTCAGTATTGCATGAAATTGAAGTGATATTTTTAGTTTAGCGCTCTGTTTGTGACTTGTAGATCTAATATTACAACTATAATTAGGTGGCGATCTTTAAAAAGTATTAAAGAGGATCTTTTCTCTATTCTTGCTGTTTTATGCTGGTTTCCTGCACTCAAGTCAAATCTGGGACTGATAAACGGGTGAAACTGATTCAGTTTGTTTTGGTTCATCCAGAGGGCTTCGTGTAATTATCTGTGACCAGATAAAGCAGTTTTAGGGGTGTTGTTTTCAAATCAGGACAGAAACCATGTGAGACCTCCTCTCTGTCGCACCTGCACACCTGAGGCCTGAAGCACACAAACACGTTTGCACGATCACATGATCATGACATCACTGCTCCAAAATCTGAATCCCAGTGTGTCGCCATCTCATTCAGTCCGACGGCCAATTTTAGGGAACCCTGTCAAATGCTTCTTGCTTCCCGCATCACTTTCTCTTTGATTTTCTCTCATTCATGTCGCGCTGCGACGTCTGCACTAGCTGGAGTCGTAGATGAATGTGTTTTCTACTGTGTGTTACTGTAAACAGACACTTTGTGCAAATGCAAAACACTTTTTGAGGGCAGACTGTTATTCATGTCCCTGTCTGCTGTCATATGCATGTGTATACAGTACACGGCCTACAGCAAAACACTGTATATGTCTGTTGTGAACTGGACTGTAATGTTGTATATTCTTCATATATACTGTAAATAACAGGTATAAATGCGTCTGGCGTCTGCTTCCTCACTGTTTTTATTAATTGTCAAAGCATCAAGCAACATTCAATTTGAATGTTTTAAAAGAATCTACTGGAAAATGCACCTGGGAACAAGGTAGCTAGTTTCTAGCTGTTCCAAACTAGTTTAAATGGTTGACAAGGAAGCATACCAGCTCATTGGGACCTGTCTGGGCTAGTAGACCATTTTGGATCAGCAATAAACCAGCTATCTCAGAAACCGGTTTGACATTGATGCTAAAGCTATAATGTCACAATAGTTAGTAAATAGGTAAGTAAAAGCTGTGTCCCAATCTCGTGAATTAGAATATTCGAATAAAAACATTCCTATTTCAAATAAATGCTGTTAGTTTGAACTTTCTATTCATCAAAGAATCCTGTAAATAAGATATATGTTGGTATCCACAAAAATATTAAGCAGCACAATTGTTTTCAACATTAATATTAATAAATGTTTCTTGAGCAGCAAGTCAGCATATTAGAATGATTTCTGAAGGATCATGTGACACTGAAGACTGGAGTAATGACGCTGAAGATTCAGGTTTGACCACAGGAATAAATTACATTTGAACATATATTATTAAACCATAATAATGTTTCACAATATTACTGTTTCTACTGTATTTTTAATCAAATAAATGCAGCCTTGGACAGCAGACTTTTTTTCATAACATTTAAAAACAATGTTACCAAACTTCTGAAAAGTAGTGAATATTATAGAGACTAAAATTGGGTAATATGATCATATTTTCTTGACCTGGTAAGGACTCTAGCCGCTCAGTAGTGAATATTATAGAGACTAAAACTGGGTAATATGATCATATTTTCTTGACCTGGTAAGGACTCTAGCCGCTGCATTTTGGACTACCTGTAGCTTTGTGGTATTATTGTCTATGCTGCTCTTGTCTCACTGCTCTATTCTGCCCCCTAGCTGTGTGAGAACTAATCTGTCAGTCTCTTCTAGATAGTCAGCAGCCTCCTCCTGCCTCAGTGCCACAGCGCTACCAAGAACTAAACATACCGGACCCTGTTAACCTACAGGTAACCAAGTATGGAGTTGCTTTCTGTTCAGTATAACCTATGTTTATACACTACTGTTCAAAAGTTTGGAGTCAATAATTTAGTTTTTTATTTATTAATTTTTTAAGAAAGAAAGAAATGAATATGTTTCTTCAGCAAGAATGCATTAAATTGATCAAAAGATTGAGAGAGAAAAACTTGAGCAGCAAATCAGCATATTCAAATGATTTCTGAAGGATTATGTGACACTGAAGACTGGAGTATTGATGCTGAATATTCAGCTTTGCATCACAGAAATAAATTGCATTTTTAAATATATTCAAGTAGAAAACAGTTATTTGAAATTGTAAAAATATTTCACAATTATTACTGTATTTTTGGTTAAATATATGCAGCCTTGGTGACCAGAAGAGACGTCTTTCAAAAACATCTTTTGAACAGTAGTGCATATGTACATTTTAAATGATTGATTAAGTGCATTATGCATTGTATTTCATAAAATACTTTTAGCTGTATATATGATCTTTTCTCTTTATCTTAAAAATGGCCTTTCCTCCAATCTATGTTTATCTCAGTTTGTTTTGCAGTAGGTTACATCAGTTATGATCTGTGTGTCCGGCAGCAGATGGACTGTAATGGCGATTCTCCCGGATTCAACAACATCAGGAGTCCTCTGAATACTTTTCCCTCTTAACTGCCCAGGTCTCTGGACCCTGAAGCTTTTCTCCTCGATTCCTGCCTCCCCTAGCGTAGATCTAAGGCACCGCTTGGAGCTTAAACACCACAGGAGTGCCTCACGCCCGCCACCTTACCGCACCGTGAGCCGAGTTCACTGGACACACTACGGTGATGGCAGAGAGACACAAACCAAAGTAAAACACAGGCCCTGAATTCCTAGCTGATCACATGATGCTCTGACATCATGGTCATGTGATCTCTTGTACGTTTGTATCCTTGTCCAGCTGCTTTTTGCCTATGACACTTTTTACACGCTAACTTGAAAGTGTTCATGTTTCACAGTTTTGTCAGCTGAATGTGATGATGTACAATCACTGATGGATGGTACAGAATGTGGACTCTTGAATATTAAGGGAACTGAGGAGGGAGAAGTTTAAAAAAAAAAAATCTACCTTATGAATACTGATACTAGTACTATTATGATTGAATAATCACTGGAATGATAGAGTAGTTAACGGTAAGTTAAATTAAACCCTTACAGACCAAATATGAATGATCAAGGTTAAAAACAAGTTAAGATCTATAAACAACATCATGCTGCCACTTACTTAGTATAGAGAATAATTTAGGCTATATATGTATGTATGTATGTGTGTGTGTATATACAGTATATATATGTGTGTGTGTGTTATATGTACATATACATATAACACACACACACACACACACACTGATCTTGATAAACATTTTAAAGTAAACGTTCTATTAAAATTTACATTAAAATATGAACTAATCTAATACAATTTTACATTAATATTTAATTAATACAATTTTAGTTTAGAATATGTCATTTTGTAATATTTTTAAATGATTATAATTATTATCTCTAATTTAAAACTAAATATAAATATTTTAAAAATATTATTTAAAAATATATTTGAAATAAAACTTATTTAA